TAGCTGAGCTGCTTGGTGTAGCCCAGATAGCTATGCTGTAAGGTTAGGTAGCCTACTGAGTGGTAAGCCGGTAGAAATTTACACGTCCCTGTCTGCCGACATCACCCGAGATTACTTCTTGTTGAAGCAAGCTCTCTTGCGAGGATTTTGCAAGACTTCTGACGGTTATCGTGCTGATTTCCGCAGAACGAAGATTAGAGCGGGAGAAACGTACCAGCAGTTTTCGATTCACCTGGGTCGTTTATTTCAACAATGGCTGGAGACATCAGGGGTTGAAGAAACCTTTAAGTCTCTCTCTAACTTCATGATATTAGATCAGTTTTTGTCTTCTCTACCTCCAGACTTGAGAATTTTCATCAAAGAACACCAGCCAGCGACGCTTGGAGAAGCTGTGCATCTTGCCGACAACTGGGCGTCTGCTCGCAACGCCTACCCCAAGTCTTCCCCTCCTGTGGTGAAGATTGCGAAGCCTCCGACTTCCAAGGAACCTTCCCCAGGAGTAGAGGAGAAAAGCTCACCAGCCGTGCGGTGCCACAACTGCGGAGAAATGGGGCACATTCGTTCTCGGTGTCCCAAGAATGTCCCAAGAATCCACGCGCCTTCAAGTCTACGGGCATTCGTCCGCCCAGCTTCGAGGTCGGGTTCTGTTTCGAAGACCGAAGCTGTCCCAGCTACTGTGTCAGCGGAACTATAAATGGGTCATGGGCATCTACGATCATCAGGGACACCGGTTGCTCATGTATTGTTGTCTCTGAGGAAGCCCTGCCTGATGCTGATCTCTCCAGCTGCTCGAAGGTTAGTGTCACCGATTATTTGGGTCGCGTTGACCAGTTCCCTGTTGTTAGGTGCTACCTGCGTTGCCCCTATTTTACTGGTTGGTCTAATGTGGTAAGAGCTCCCATTAAATTTGCCAGTGTTCTCATTGGTAATGTTCCCGGTGTTCGTGACCCTAACGACCCGGAACCTTTAAAACTCTCCTCACCACCAGTCTCCTCAGCGCTAGTCTCTTCGCCACCTGCTGACGTCGCCTCGCCACCCTCGCATGCCACCTCCCCTCCAGCAAAGATCCTAGCTGTGGAGACACGGTCGGCGAAGGTGAAGCGCCTGCATCCCCTGGTTCTGCCGAAATTGCAGCCGCTGACTGTGACTCCCAAGGAATTTGCCAAGCTTCAAGACTCGTGTACCACTCTGAAGCGGGTAAGGGAGAAGGTAACTTCCGGGGAGGAGGATCAGGCTAGAGATGGGTCTGTATTCAAGTTCGCTCGTGTTAACGGTCTGTTACTTCGATCGTGTGTGTCATCCAAGCAACCAGCCAAAGTAGGTCAGTTTTTCCTTGTTGTTCCGGCTGATTGTCGTAACATCATTCTCACTGTAGCTCACGAGAGCCCCCTAGCAGGGCACTTCTCTCATAGAAAGACATTTATGAAGATTTCTGATCAATTTTACTGGCCAGGAATGGGAGCGGATATTAGGGCCTTTTGTAGGAGTTGTGATCGGTGTCAGCGTATGTCCGCCAAAGGTAGAGTCCGTCCTGTTCCTCTTAAACCCTTACCCATTATTACTGAACCATTTTCTCGGGTTGCCATAGATTTGGTTGGACCACTTTCACCCCCTTCCTCTGCGGGGCACAGGTATGTACTCACGTTAATTGATTTCGCCACCGGGTTTCCAGAAGCCTTGCCCTTGAAGGAAATTGATTCTATTTCTGTGGCCGAAGCATTGCTTGTGATCTTCTCTCGCGTAGGCATACCACGGGAAATTCTGTCAGATAGGGGGACTCAGTTTACGTCTCAGTTGATGGCGGAGCTTCACAAGTTGCTGGGAGTTAAGCCGTTATTTACCACCCCTTTTCACCCTAGTGGTAATGGACGAATTGAGAGAATGCATGGGCCCCTGAAAGCGTCGCTGCGGAAATTGTGTGCCGACAAACCCAGAGAGTGGCACCGGTATCTTGTCCCCACGTTATTTGCGCTGAGAGAAATTCCTAGCGACCGGACCGGGTTCTCGGCGTTCGAGTTATTATACGGCCGAGCCGTGAGAGGCCCGCTCTCGGTGTTAAGGGATCTGTGGGAGGACACCAGTATAGAAGACGACGAGCGGACTCACTACCAGTATGTCCTTGAATTACGGGACAAACTTTCACAGTGTGCCAAGATCGCCGCGCAGAATGCTGACATTAGTAACACCAAATATAAGGCCTATTTCGACGTCAAATCACAAGATCGTCAATTTATTCCGGGGGATGAAGTGTTAGTGCTCTTGCCTGATAAGAAGAGCAAGTTGCTTGTTTCCTGGAATGGGCCTTACAAAGTCCTAGAGAAGCGGAGTAGGGTAAATTACGTAATTGACGAACCAAAGGGGCCCAAGTTATATCATGCTAATTTATTAAAGAAATACCATCGCAGGGCCCACCTTAACTTTGCTCATGTCCTAGATAACGATTCTAAGCTAGAGTCAGTCGAGGCACTACCCTGCGAGGAGTCGGGAATAATTCCGGCACCAGACTCGGATGATCTCGGTTGCCAGCTACCGATAACTCCAGATGGCATAGTAGAATCCCCTTCGACTGACGATGGGCCCGCACTTAAACCTGGATTGGAGAGGAACCAACGTGCTGACATTGAGGACTTGATTGCTAACTTTGAGGATGTATTCTCAAACGTCCCGGGATGCACATCCACTGTACACCATGACATCCTCCTCACAACCACTCAGCGTGTGCAGGCCAAAGTTTATCCTGTCCCTATTCATCTCCAGAGTTATTTTGAAGAAGAGGTCGACCGTCTACTTGAGCAGGGAATCATCCAATTGTCATCGTCCCCTCACTGCTCTCCGGTGGTTATGGTGCGTAAGCAGGATGGTACTTTTAGGATGGCCATTGACTACAGGGCGTTAAATGCGGTAACTGTCTTTCATGCCGAGCCCGCCTGTTCTATGGAGGAAGACTTGCACAAGTTCTCAGGGGCGAAGTACTTCTCGGAGTTGGATCTATGTAAAGCTTACTACCAGGTACCCTTAACTGAACGCGCAAAACCACTAACTGCATTTCCTACTCGTAGAGGATTGATGGAATTCTGCCGACTTCCATTCGGGCTGGTGACTGCCTGTGCCACGTACATCAGGCTGATGCGCCTCGTCCTTGCCGGTTTGCCTAGAGTTTCTTTTTATTTTGACAACATTTTCATATATTCCTCAGATTGGCAAGAACATCTTAGCGACGTTAAAGCTGTCTTGGAGAGGTTAAGGGGACATACTTTGACGATAAAGCCATCTAAGTGCCGCTTTGGATTTGAGTCTATTCATTATCTTGGATTCGTGCTAGATGGTCGGCATCTTCGTCCCCAACCTGAGAAAATACAAGCCCTTTGTGAGGTGTGTCCTCCTACAAATAAGAAACTCCTCCGTAGTTTTCTCGGTATGATCTCTTTTTATAAAGCTTTCATTCCCCAGGCATCTGAGTATACCGGACCCTTATCTGACCTGCTAAGGAAAGGCCACCGGGAGCCTCTTGTCTGGAACGACGACCTGCTGGCCAGATTTAATCGTCTCAAGAATTCGCTATCCACGCAGCCCATCCTCAAACTGCCTGATCAACACTTAACCTTCGTTCTTAGGACGGACGCCTCCAGTCATGGCCTAGGAGCCGTCCTCCTCCAATATGTTCAGGCATGTCCTCACCCAGTGGCCTATGCCAGTAGGAAGTTACTAGATAGGGAGAGGAGGTACTCCACCATTGAACGTGAGTGTCTAGCCATTCTGTTTGGGGTTTTGAAATTTGATTATTACCTGAGAGGAAAAGAATTTATCCTTGAGGTAGACCACAAACCCTTGTTGTATTTAAATACATTCAAGGGGGCAAATGACAGATTGTTACGGTGGGCTTTAAGTCTGCAGGGGTATAGGTTTCGTGTGGTCCACGTCGCCGGAAAGGACAACCTTGGGGCAGACCTTTTGAGCAGATCCACTGTATAGCATTTGTTGTAAGATGATTATGCTTTGTGTACTAATCTTAAGTTTTAATCTACCTTACAGTAGATTTTTGTTGGGGGAGCAGTGTAAGGGCAGAAACGATCCTCCGGCTAGTTACCGCTGCTAACTCGCTCGTTTGCTGGTGCATACGACACTTGGGGTGGTTGGACGGAGGTGATAACGGCAGCGACTATCTCCGCCACGAGCAGATTCATCCCAGCCGCCATACCGTCAGTATCTAGCTACCCTGCTGTCCGTCAAAATTCTGGCTGTGATCTCATCATAGGTCCTGGACTCGTGGGCTGTGTTCCCAGACCTTCACCTATCAACTGCCAACTCTCTGGTCATCTACCACTACCGCATACCACGACCATCAGTTCATCACCTTCCGTCGGTGCCCCGGTGTTCTCCTGCCTTTTCAAGACGTTGCTGAGTGTGGAGTGAATGGACGCTTCCCTGCCCTGAGTGTGCATCACCGCGTTCCAGAACCTTCCCCCAGGGCCACTGCCGTAGGAAATATTTGTTCATTGTTTGATTCCATTAATTGCTGACTCCCCTTTATTGTTCGATTCTATCAATTGTTGACTCCATTTAATTGTTTGATTCCATTAATTGCTGACTCCCCTTTATTGTTCGATTCTATTATTTGTTTGATTCCTTTAATTGTTGCTTCCATTAATTGTTTGACTCCCGTAATTATTTGATGTTTGTTGAGTGGTGTCAGAGTTTTGTGTATATTTTTATAGTAAAGAGATGCCAATCTCTAACGGTTGTTTGTTATTCCTCGGAAAACCATGGTCCTTGACTTTCCTTTATTAAGATCCTGATTAGCCTGGTAAGGATTTCTATCCCTAAGTCCTAGGCCTAGCACAAACAAACAAACATACATAAAAACAATCAAACAAACATAAAAACAATAAAAAAGCAGACCCTCTTCAACAAACCACCACCACCAAGGACTTCACTAACCTACCACCTCCACCACCACCTCCTACAACACTATTTATAGTCCCAAAACTTCCCAAAGGTCACTCCTGCCTCGGTGACCTTTGGGGGTTAACACTGCCCACTGGTCTAGATCTGGCGAGAAAACTGCCCCCACCCAAAGGTCATTTGTTGGGTGTCACAAAGCGCCTGCTGGGTGATTTAGGTGAGTCTTCCCCCGCCCTCCCCCATCCCCCCTCTCCAACCCAGGGTCACAGTGTGTAAGGTCAAGGCGTTTGAATTTTAATTTAGTTGATGATGGTATAATGCAGAGGAGGAGGAGGAGGAGGAGGAGGACAACAACAACAACAACAAGGCTAGATTACGTTAGGTTACGTTAGGTTAGGTTAGGCTAGATTAGGTTAAGTTAGGTTAGGTCTGGTCAGGTTACATTATGCATGAAGGTATTCATTTATATGTATATTTATGATCTACAGGATCGTTTATGGCCAGTCAAAGGCTTCCAGAAAAGATAAATACATAGAAGTTATCACTAATGGCCAATTATCCCTATTTAGTGTAACATACAGTATATATTAGGTGGAGTTCCGCTTTTATTTGTTTGTTTTCGTATTATTTAAGTCATTTATTTGTTAACATTTAGCTTAGAATAAGTAAATATTATACAAAACAAAACATTGAAAAACTCACAGGTGAATTTGTAACATATAATCAAGTCGAGATAATAATATCAATACCACGTGCTGGTCAAGCTCCGAAAGAGTTGTCCGGGGGTCTAGCTAACCTCTGGTCGGGGCTTGACCAGCACGAAAAAAAAAAAAAACATTTTTTACTAAACGTGATTTTGGCAACCTGTGGTGTAATAGTCAGCATGCTCGCCTTGCAAGCGAGGGGACCCGTGTTCGATTCCCGGACAAAGTGAAACTATGAGCATTTTTTTTACGTCATTTGACTTTTTATTTACCAGTAAATGGGAACCTGGATGTCAATCGATTTGCGGATCTTATTCTGGAATAATGGTTAGCCAGTGCAGTTGCCGAGTTGTCCGGTCTTCTCGGACTATTCATTGAAACTGGGTTATACAACTCGTTAACTTAGGGTGTGGTTGTGGTGTTGGCGACAGATTCTAACACCTTAAACAAATTCACGCCTAGGTTGCTCTAGAGCCGGCCATCCTCGTACACGAAGGGCAACCATTATTGTTACGTGTATAATATTACCATCACTACCACAACCAGCATTATCGCTACTATTGTCATCTTCTCAACTATCATCATTCCTTCCCTCTTCCTCCTCATGCCTCCATATTTCAATAATAATCGTCTCAATTATTATTATTATCATCATTATTTTTATTATTATTATTACCGTATTATTATTATTATTATTATTATTATTATTATTATTATTATTAACAATTCAACATGTGGCTGGAACAACAGTAGAAATTAGAAATAAGATAAAAAGTTGTATTAAATTAACAATTAAAACACAAACAAGAACCACAGGTACAAGTCGATCAGTTTTTTATCATGAGAGAGAGAGAGAGTCCCTGGCTCACTGTTACGTTATGACAAAGTTGTTGGTAAATATATGGTATGGAAATTGTGTTGATACTCTCTCTCTCACACACACACCAACCACAAACAAACAACACATCACAAACAAACAAGCAAGCAACAACACAACACAAACAATAATGACACCACAAAAACACCATTCTAAAAAACAAACAATAAAACAAACAAACATACCAACAAACAATAAAACGAACAAACGAAGAATAAAACAAAACAAACAAACAATAAAACATATACTGCTTTTAATAAAGGCAATAATCTGACATAAGCATTATCATTGTATTCTTATACTTATTATTATTACAGATGATATTAAACATTAAAAAATGAAGAAATTATTTGCAATTAACATTGCAGACTGTATTGAGGATATTTTTAAACCATTTATTTATCATCTTGCTCTATGTTTAACATTATTAGTTGGTAGAATTTCATGAATATACTTACTGTATATGGGTTCCATGACATTTGCTCACAAGATGAACCTAATCTAACCTAACCTAACATGTCTACATTTCCATTATAGTTGAGTATATGCCTTGTAAACAAATGTCTGTACACTAACTATATAAACTCTTTGGTGAGGATCCATATACGGCATTTACATCGAATATTTTTTCAAATAAAAGACCATTTTAACAGCAGATACTTTTCTCCAACTGCTGGTTTTGTCCATGTCATTAACATATTGTATACATTTTTACTCCTGACATTGGGAAAGTGTTCATGTCTTGCTTTCTTTGAAAGGGTATTTGTTGCATAATCAGGTGGAGACAAGTCGAAACATTATCTCAAGTTTTCATATCTTGTAGATAACTGGCCTTTATACTTGTATAATATGAAAGTAAAAATTTTGGTACAAAGATAATTTCCTGTTTGATAGAAAACTAACAGTTTTGGTGATATTTTTTCAAGATTTTATCCCAATTCATCAGTACAGTGAGTTCATCACTGTCATAGCAACTTTATAATACCTAATGCTGTACTTTGTTATATTCTACTGACTTCATCCACAGAACAGGCCATAGTTCTCTTTATTTACACTAACCCAACCCCAAGAACGTGACAAACTTATTACTTTATTGTTAGATTTAATTAGGATAAAGAAGAAAGGAACAGATATTACACTCTATTCCTACATTTTTATGGTTGTCACAGGCTTTATTTAACTATATTCACTGTAAGTGATCGTATTTCATTCCCAGAATATGCTTTGAATCAAAGGAAATAGGAAACTAAGGTGCACCTTAGCTTGGATTCAAGTTTTTCATGCTCGTAAATCGTGTAGCAAGAGTAAACGTTTCGTGCCACTGACAACGTTTTGAGGGTGCAAGCATACCAAGCCCCAAGTCTTCCGCCAGTTGGTACACCTGACTACACTACGATGACGTAGTAACAAACGACGGTCGGGTACCACCATGGCCCATCTTGAAAAATCACAATTTTTACTCCATTGTATTACGACCGCCGGGATACCAGAGCATGGTGTACACCACGGCTGATCTTGCAATTGGCCCTTATTTGCACGGTAAAACTACAGTTTCGGATAATACGCCCTGTAGTTGAGCATTTTGTTTTATCCAGTGTAATTTTTTTAGGTGAGTGAATCTAATTTGACCTTCATTTCCGTCGGAAATTATCCGTTTTAGAGTTATTCCCTCCCCCCCCTCCTTCCACCAACAATCTTGGGGGGACACGGGTATTTGAGGTTTTCGGGGGGGGGGGCAAAACGAGTGATAAGCGATATAAACCACCAAAGTCGGCTCGGATTTTCCGTCTTTGAGAAGTAAATAAAAACCAAAATTTGAGAATCTGCGCCAATTTTGGCACAGATTGGCTCGGATTTAAATTTTTTTATTAAGTAATGAATTCCCAAGGAAACAAAATCCGAGTGAATCCGAGTAATCTAAATGTAATCTAACCGGGGGGGCTCCGCCCCCGGACCCCCCCCCCCCTCCGTCAGTAATTGCACTGCTTCCTCCTTTGCATGTCCTGTAACGTCCGCAGTACCACAGATGTTTATATTTTCTAAATTTATACGGCAAATGCCTGTCCGGACATTCGACACACTTGGCAGAACACCGTGAGCACGCAATAAATAACTAAATCGTCTCTCGAGTGGAATTTAACTATTTAATCCCAATAATTATATTCACAGCCGTCACAAGTGACCTCAACAGTAGCCTTTGTGAGTCTGAATATTCAAACTCTGAGGTTTGGTGGTCCATGCCGACGTGTCTTGTTCCAATTCAAATGTGATTGGTGGAAAAAATCAGCTATTCATTATTGGTGAAGGCTGGATCACGTAATGTCAGATCACGAAACGGTCCACCTCACTGCGCATGCCCCCACACCCATAGACTGGTAAAAGTATGAAAAATCGTTAAATTCATTTCCGACGCTATTATTCATTTCCGACTGGTTGAAATGGGGTTAGAAATACTCCAAACAGGGAGATCTAAAGGTTGGGGATGGTTAGAACCATCGGCCGTGTATTGTCCCAAACTGCAGTTATACTATTTACACCAGAGTTTCACATTGACAAACCGATCCCCTTGATTCGGATGCAAATAGTTAAACCATAATTTTAACCCCAGATCTCAACACTATTATCGAATATTATAAGAAGTTTGCACTGACAAAACTCGGATGCAGATAACAGCTTCACTATCTCTTCAATAAACCGATAAGTTAGATTAGGTTCTGTACCAGATATCAAAGTAAACGATAATGAAGTAGATAATGTACGAGATGATATTAATTTTCACAATTCCATTGTAAACATTAATGATGAAAAAGTCGGAGCAAATAACTTCATTTTTTTCTACTATAATTTGAATAGTTACACTCTTCTTTTTCATCTTTCTTTAACGGATTTGGTAACATATGGTGCAGTAATTGGCACCCGAACTTCGCTATGACACACCTCGGGTACAGTTAACAGTTTCACTATCTGCACCCGACACCCTTGATGACGAGGTTCGGGTGCAAATAACCATTTCGTTATTTTCACCAGAAAGTGCAAATACCTACGGCCTTTTAATAATACCATAGTATTAATGATGATTAATGAACCAAACTAGCCCCACCGAAAATACTTCTTATATTTTAAAGTGAAAACAAAACTTTGTGACAAAAACCGTTAGCCACATCTACACATGGCAGGCAGCAGAAGCTTGGCCTTGTCCTCCCCACACACGCAAGATGTAAAAAAAAATATATATATATAAATATATAAATAAAATAAAAATTACGTAAAGTATTACATTAGTATTTTTTTTACGAGGTAAGAAACCTTTTATCTTCTTTGAGAAAATATCCTAAGTTAGTGCTAAAGGCTCACCCACGTCGTTAAGTATTACCAATAAAACTCTAAGGATACCATGATGCAGCCTAAACTAAAACACACCCTTTACTATCGTTATAATAATCACCATCAAAGATATACACAATCAACCCACTTTAGAAGGTTAGAATATTATTGACGTGTTTATAATGTATACAGTAAGTCGAACTTACTTTAAGTCACAACAAACAACAACTGTATCTTACCTGATTCCTCAAGGCAGCGTTCACCCGTGTCCGGCCAATTTCCTTCATCGTTCCACCACTTAATAAACACTTCACCATTTCTATCTAACTTTTCCCAGGTGTTCTTCTGTGTGTGATCACAGTCATGGAAATTCATATCACGAACCACTGAATTAATTTGCCAATGCCATTAATAAAACCACAGGCAGCGGTGAGCATCCCTAAAGGTGTAGCGACTCGCGCGGTACTGGCTAATGACTGCTGAAAAATGCCTTCCCTAGGGTCAAGGGAAGTAATGTTAAAATACAACCACGAACTAGACTCCTTGACCACCCATTTTTCTGGTGATACAAACCAACCAAAATTAACTTAACTTTTCCAACATACTTTTATAAAATTTCCTGAAGATCATTACATGACGTTGTGTTATGTTACGCCTACCGTCAAATAATCTGCCTTGAGAAACATTATGATCAGCCTTCTTGGTTGTGATAATATCTTAACATTGCTAATATTGCTACGCTTCGAAAGGTCTTTGATCCTATAGTTCAGTTTGTTGGAAAAGAATGATCATAAATTCGAAAATCATAGACAGACGTCCTTTTTTGTTTAGGTTAGGTTAGATTAGGTTAGTGTTAACAAATGACAACCCCGTTGGGGTTTTGTCATGGAACCCTTTTAAACTGCTTGCCGCGGACAATAAAATGGTGCCACTACTTGCCTATAATTGGGCTACTTTTGAAAAAGGAAATCGCGGCACCATTAAATTATCTTCCATCAGTTTTTATGAATGAATATTGATTTCTTTTTTTCAGGATTGGTAATAAAGGTAAGCATATGACTGCTCATTTTCTCTTCATTTATTGGCTTACAATCATCGAGTAATTTAAAATTTCGAATGAAATATCTATAGTAATTTCCTTTCCCACGCTCTCACTGAGGGGCTTAGCGGCTGGTCAGACAGACAGGTACCAGGCAGAGCCGCAGAAGTTGTTGGACAGGTAACAAGAAATAATCTTATCATTTATCAATGTTATTAAATCCATAGCGCAAAAATATGAAATACAGTATTATTAAATAAGCATTCATTTACAGCCTATTGAATCACGTTCTTTACTGCATTTGTCAATTGTCTCGTTGAATCGTTTGATACACACACACACACACACACCTGTCCATAACTATTTAGACTCCATGTGTGTTATATGTGCATATATGATTATTTTTACACATCTCCTACCTGTAGGTAAACCTGGTAGACTAGGGGGAAGCAGAAGTTCATACGGATTCTGTAGAACTCTGGGCGACTGTTGGCGACTACACACAAGGCATTCGAGAATCTTTCAAAATTTGTTCTTAATATTTTGTACTTACCCATTAGTAATGCTGACGTCGAACGAGTTTTCAGCCAGGTAAAAGTTATCAAAACTGAACTACGCAACAGCAGGGGTGGATCCAGGAATATTTAAAGGGCAGTCTTTAAAGTTGTGGGGGGGGAGGACCATGTGCACTTGATATTAGGAGATAATATGAGGTTAATAGTAATTATATTTTGCTGTACAAAAAGCCAGAGTACAATACTGCATTAAAGAAAAAGTATTGGAATTTTCTGATGAAAAGGGGAGGGGGGTCTGGACCCCCAGGCCCCCTCTCGATCCGCCCCTGAACAGAATGGGTCAAGAACTTTTATCGGCAATATTATATACAAGAAGGACCGTGAGTTGTCACTAAGGAGGTGAAGCAAAAAAATGCA